TAGAACTAATAGAACTACAAATAAAAAATGTTAAAAAAAGAAAAGAAAAAAACAAAATTCTTTTAAAGAAAATACATAAGAACAGCCAAGAAAATTATGAGAATAAAGACTAAAAAGGGAGACTTGTCTTCTAAAATATGACAACACATTTTTAAGCCATAGTAAATAAAATTGCTTTAGCATTAGTGCAGCACTAGATAGAGTACTGGAACAGAAAAGCAAGAAGGGGATGCATACACTGAGCTCCTCTCGATATTTTTTAAGAGACAGGAAGTTAAATGGAAACTCTGATGCTGAGATTATGCCAATTTGTCCTCATCAATCTATAAAAGCTGGAACAGAAAGAAGAAAGTTCCCAGACACAACTCCACGTCCTTACATGAAGGACTTAGAGTCTTTTCCTGACTTCTCAATCTCCTGTTTTCTCCAGGACTCCTCCAGCTACCTGTCCCTGCCAGTGCTTAGTACAATTCTTCAGGCATTTTTGTAATTCTAGCAATTAGGGCAAAGCAGGCCCTTGGAGCGGGCTGTGTTAGTTCCAAATATTTGCTTCCCTTTTCTGCAAAACAGTTATACTTTCCCATCTGCTGATATCAGGCAAATACATGTGACCTGCCTCAGGCAGTGAAATGTGAGTGGAAATGACATGTCTCTCTTCTAAACAGCAACTTTAGAGCCACTGTGTGGTTTCATCTCTCTTGCTCTCCTCCCTCTGTCACAGCACTCTTTGCCCCACATAGGGTCTGCTCTTTCACTCTTGGTCATGGACTGAAAGGACATGAAGTAGAGCCACAGCTAACCCACTAAGAATGAGACAGGATTCCGGTTAGGTTGCTGTTGTTAGATAGCCATTGAGATTTGAGGTCATTTGTTACTGCAGCATAACTGAGCCTACAAAGCTCTTCTCCTTCCAGAACTACTAGCAGCATGCAGTAGCTAACACTGATTAAGCAGGTACCATGTACCAGGCACCATGCTAAATCCACTGTTTCATTAAAGTTCACGACAAAGCCATGATGTGAATACTGCCGCTACCTCCATCTCATAAAAAAATGGACCCGAGAACTGGGAGGTTAGGTCATTGGCTCACAGGATTGTATCACTTCCAAGTGGCAGCACCAAGCCTCTGGCTTCAGAGCAGCTTCATCAACCTCTGCCTCAATAAATGCCTATGGAGCCAATGACTGAATGAAAAAGCAGAGTGATCAGACATCTAGAATCCACATAGAAGAAGCCACCCTTTTCAGAGTGACGTAGAGAAAAGGATCACTATCTGACTGATAAGCTGGGTTATGCTCTGGTAACAAATGACCTCCAAAAATCTAAGTAATTAAAAGCAATTAAGGTTCCCCTGCTCCCTCATAACAGGTCGATCACAGGTTGGTCATATCTACAATTCAGACTGCAGAGGAAGAAAAATGGAAGGATGAGTGAATGGATGGATAGATGTGTGGAAGGAAGGAAGGACAGTTTAATCATAGTATGTGGCAAACATGGCATCCCAAATCAGTGAGGAAACAATGCCTCTTTAATAACTGGTGGGAGCAAACTATGATCTACATGGCAGTTCAGTATCTATTAAAATTGCAAACATGGCTTCTAAAATCATTAGAATCTTCTTCACCTTGGTTAAAAAAGAAAACATGAGTCTCGGCAGACTTTTCGCTGTGAGAGATGCCTGCTCCTTCAATCTCATCCCCTCAAATCACCATATGTCCTCACCTTTCTCTTTCCAGCACAACCCACCCCAGGGAGGCTCGTGGTGGCTAGGGGAAAAGGGGTTGAGAAAAAGCCATTCTGCAAGAAATTCCAACAGAAATATGCAATATAGTCGACAGAATTAGACCCCTCAGTGAAGACAGAATAAGAATGCCTTCCAGACACATCAGGCTCCTCCAGGAAGCATTCTCCAAGAGGCGCGGAAGGCTCTACCAGATGCACACAGACCCCCTTCTCGCAGGGTGGTGCTATCCAAGAGCAATATAGTGAGAGCCACAGTGCCAAACACATACATAATTTAAAATTTCCTAGTAGCCAACTTAAATCGTTTTTTAAAAAGTGGAATTAATTGTATTAACATTTAATCCAGCATATCTAAAATATTATCATTTCAACCCATACTCAATATGAAAAGGTTAGCGATAGTTTATATACTTCTTTTATATTTTTCCAGCCATCTCTTCGAAATCAGGTATGTATTTGACACAGCACATCTCAAAAAGACGTTAAATTTTCAAGGGTTAAAGGGAAATGTCTCGGCAAAACAATAAACTTGTGTCTGATGGGAAAATGTTTTAGACTTCATTATTTAGTTACAAATTAATTAAAAGTAAGTAAATTTAAGAATGTAGTTCCTCAGTAGCACTAGCAACAACTCAAGCGCTCAAGTGTCACTTGTGGCCATCGGCTGCTGGAGTGGACAGCGCAGATGGGACCCCCTCAGCGGGAGGCGGGGCGGGGAAACTTGGGGAGGCGGCTGTAAACCACGTGGACAGCGTACTGGACACCATGGGAGGAAACCCCGCCAGATCCACAGGGAAGGCGAGCAGTCGGGAGGGGTGCTCAGCGCCCCCACAACGCGCACCCTTCATTCCCACGCAACCTGAGGGACCGGCCTCAAGCTCGGATACCGCCCACGCCAGCCCGGCGCCGGAGGTCGCAGCGCAGGGGAGGGGAGGCGTTCACCCTCTTCCCGCCCTGGCACTTCACCAGCCCGCCCCACTCACCGTCCGCGGCCGAGCCCAGGAGCTGCTCCCGCGGGGCCCACCTTGCGCCTGGGTAGGTGAGGTAGCGGCGGTAACTGCAGCCGCGACAACGTCAGGTCTGTGCCTCTGCAGGAAGTGCGTCACTGGCGAGCGCGCAGCCTGCCGGGAAGCGTAGTCTGGAGACAGAACGCGAGTAGTGCCGGAAGGAGAGTCTGAGTACGGTCTCATTGACCTGCTCCTTTCTCCTCGGGCAAACGTTTTTTGTTTTTACCGCGGGTACCCATAAACAAAATATAGTGTTGGTTCCATGCTTTTAAGCATTACATAAATAAGTGGGAGGGTATAGCTCAGTGGTAGAGCGCATGCGTATCATGCAAAATGTCCTAGGCTCAATTCCCAGTCCCTCCATCCAATAAATAAATAAACATTACATGAATAGCCTTATAACGTAGGTACTAGCTCATTTTGCACAGTTTCTATGATGATATGCAGTAATCCATCCATTTGTGTTCACCGCTGTATGGTATCTATTGTAGAAATAGACCAATATTTCAATTGGATATTACCATGTCTCCTTGCGCTACACCCGTAGAGTTTCTCTAGGGCAGCGGTTCACAAACTTTTTGTTGTAATAACCCTTTTACATTCTTAAACGTTTATTTTTTTCCAGTGTCATTGAGATATAATTGACATACAGCACTGTTTAAGTGCTTTAGGTGTACAGCATAACGATTTGACTTACATATATTGTGAAATGATTAACACAATAACTTCAGTTAACATCTATCATCTCATACAAATACCAAAAGAGAAAAAAAGTGTTTTCCTTGTGATGAGAACACTTAGGATCTACTCTCTTAACTTTGAAATGTACCATACAGCAGTGTTAACTGTAGTCATCATTCATTACTTATTTATCCTATAACTGAAAGTTTGTACCTTTTGAGCACTTTCGTCTAATCCCTGCCCCAGCTGTGGGAACCACATATCTGATCTCATTTTCTATGAGTTAGACGAGGTTTTTTTGTTTTTCAGATTCCACATACAAATGAAATCATACAGTATTTGTCTTTCTCTGTGACTTATTTCACTCAGCATAATTTTATTTATATATATATATTCTTCTTTTTCCAGTCATCCATAGATGAACACATAGGTTATTTCCAGGTCTTGGTTATTGTAAATAACTCTGCTATGAATATGTGGGTACAGATATCTCTTCTATATAATCTTTATTTTTCTTTTGTATATATTCCCAGAAGTGGAATTACTGGATCCATGGTATGGTAGTTCTATTTTTAATTTTTTGAGAATCCTCCATATTGTTTTCCATAGTGACTGTGCCAATTTACAATTTCACCAACAGTGCACAAAGGATCCCTTTTCTCCACATCCTTGCCAGCTTTTGGTATCTCTTGTCCTTTTGAGGATAGCCATGCTAACAGACATGGGGTGATATCAGACTGTACTTTTGATTTGCACTTCTCTTATATTTAGAGATGTTGAGCACCTTTCCATGTACCTGTTGGCCATTCATACATCTTCTTAGGAAAGAATGTCTATTGAGGTCCTATGTCCATTTTTTTAAATTGGATTATTGAGGGGGGGGAGTGTTTGTTATTGAGTGGTATGAATTTTTTATATATTTTGGATATTAACCTTTTATCAGCTCTATACTAGGCAAATATTTTTCCTATTCCATAGATTGTCTTTTCATTTTGTTGATTGTTACTTTTGCACTGCAGAAGCATTTTAGTCTGATGTAGTCCCACATGTTTATTTTTTTATTTTGTTGCCTGTGATTTAGGTGTCATATCCAAAATATCATTGCTGAAACGCATGTCAAGGAGCTTTTTTCCCCTATGTATTCTTCTAGGAGTTTTATGGTTCTTCGGCTTACATTTAATTCTTTAATTCATTTCAAGTTAATTTTTGCGACTAGGGTAACACAGAGGCTTAATTTCACTTAAAATTATTGACAACCCCAAAGAGCTTTTTTTAACGTGAACTAAATTGATTTCTATTTACTGTACTAGATATTTCAATGAAGAAATTTTAGATATTGATATATTAATTCGTTTAAAAAACAACAGATTACTTATAAACATGATATACTTAATGAAAATATTTGTGTTTCCTTTAAAAAACTAGTGACAAAAGAAGCATTGTTTTACATGTTTGCAAATTTATTTAATGTTTTACAAATTTGCAAATCTCTTTAATGGGAGAAGCTGAATTCCCTATCTGCTTCTGTATCTAATCTGTTGGGATATCTGTCAAGCGCAAGACCAGAGGAGAGTTCTGATAGATTTCACAGATTAAATAACAATGAATCATTGTTTGATTCTGCCAGTTTATTAGTTATGTAGACAGAAAAAAGAAAAGTAGTGAAAGGTGCCAATCCCCAAGGCCCTTATACAATGTGACACCAGAATAAAAGGGACCAGATGATTCATCACAAATAATAGGGGACACACTTTTGCTGAGGAGCCAGTTCTACACTTCAATTGAACAGTTTTATACTTCACAACTGTACCCTGAGGAGGCCAGGGCAGAAAGCCCTATACATCATCAAAATTCTCCTAAGAGATCCGAGATGAATGGGAGATGGCATTAGAGCAATTACTTCTCACAAGCCTCCCAAGCTTTCAGGTTCCGAGATCACAAGACTCTGATTAGCTGCAGTTCAAGCCTTGCTTGCAGGGCTATATGCCTATATGCAAGGTCACGAGGGTAGAGCCATTGCCCTACAGGTCTACACCCCTACTTACATATATCCAACTAAGGATTCTTACTACAAACATAGCCACCCCATCAGACTTTAATTAATTGTGTTGATAGAGGTTTGGATCACAACTGTCCTAAATGTTTTAGGCAACATCAGATGAGTGTGACCATGACTATGAATCCCTGTAGAATGATCAGACCCATTCGGAATAGCAACGAGCAGGCTACTCATCTAGAACCAAATCAGTTAAGTTGGCAATTGCATATGCTCCACCTCAAAAGCCAGCAGGAAGACTAGGGCAATGCCACTCTTTACCTCTTCATCTGTTAGTCAGCATTCACAGGCTGAGAACAGCGGGGACATAACCCCGCAGGCATCTCCTGGAAAGGCTGGGAAGGAGGTTGTGAAGGGGGCACCTGGGGGCCATCAGCATCCATGTCCCACACTGCAAACAGCTGGGGGACGGGGCACCGCCCAGTGAGTAGGATCTGGGCAGGGCTCTCACAGCACCTACCCTGCCCAGGGACCAGCATCCCCCTGGGCATTCAGAACCAATGGGGTCAAAACTGAACTGTCACCTCCCCCCATGCTCATCTCATACCTACACTAGGATGCTGAGCAGCCCCTGAACCCACTCTTAGGAAGCCCCTCATTGTCCACCTGTCAGAGAATCAACCTGCCTCATCCTCTCTGCACTGACTGCATCCCAGTCAGCCCGACACTGTCAGCCTCTGGGACAACCTTACTTCCATTGTCTCCTCCCTTTGGCCACTGCCCTGGGGGTAAGGGTCCTTGCTGAAGTCCCTCAAAATTCACTCCACCTGAATACACACACACACACACACACACACACACACACTGAAGCCAAGGTGATGGCTTAGATGGACAAGGGTAGGCTCTCTCAGTACTAAAATCATCACTCCATCATTGGCTCCCTATTGGACTTCAGGACCTCGGTCTGTCCATCTCTCCACTCCCACCATGACCCTACCCCACACATGCCCATGTAAAGCACTGAGCAGAGTGTCATTCCCCACTTTTACCATGCCAGCTGCTGTGCTTGGCCTAAGCAATTTTCACATCAAAACACCCTCCGTTCCCCCGTACTGGGCTCAGGTCCCCCCTATTACACATCCATCACACTGTGGGCATCACTCCCCAGTAGAACTCACCATCCAGAGGTTTACTGTCAAGGAGAATTGACAACCCAGAGTACCATGGCTCTTGCTCAGTGCCATTCATGAAAGGGTCTAATACTTGTTCACTGAGGGGTAAGATGTCTAGTAGTAGAACAAAATATACTGTCACAGTCAGTCACTTTAGAAGGATCTGACAAGGTCTCCAGACATCCCAGCCAGGAAAAATTACAGCTCCCTGATCACAGCTTGAGACGGAAACAATGTAAATGTCCATTCCTTTAGACTATAACACACCATGTATGCACATAGAAGACCTGGTCCATGGCAAGGGAATTCTGACTAACACCCAAGTAAATTATGAAAGCACAAAGCAGGGCTGAGGATACGAAGGGTTGCCATGAAAGGAGGATAGGCAACCTGGGGAGGAAATGGAAACAGATGAGATCAGCACAGCCCATATCACCCTGATGAGTGAGCCCTCTCTCAGGTTGGACAGTGATGGACCAGCTGTGATGAGCCTGACGTGGAGTACCTGCTGATTTCCATGTTGTAAATTCTTCCACCAAGGCAAAAACCAAGCAACTAAGAATTCAGTGACCAGCTCAGAAAATCCTGAAATTTTAACAAGTAGCTCTTGCAGACTTGTATGCTGTGGGAGACACACGACACAGTCCCTGGGTTTCCTCTGTGAGGTTTCCTGCCTCAACCTGGGGTGACGTAGAGTGAGAAGCATGGGTTCCTCTAACCTGCCTGAAATCAGCCCCACCTGCTCCCCAAGAACAGATGAGCCTGACAGATTACAGAGCACGTGCTCTGCGCGGTCCCGCCCGCTGTCCCTCTGACACACGGGGCTCTGTGTGTTGTTGCAGGTTGGCCCCGAAGCAGAGCTCAGGCCAGCACTCAAGAGGAAGCAGGTGCTCTGGGAGGCGATTCCTTCGAAGCACCAGCAGCAGAGTAGAGAACTGAGACAGGGGAGGACTCGAAGTCAGAAGAGGACAAGTCAATGGACAGGTCATTGAAGTGGGGACAGGGGTTCCACCCAGCTGGGGACCTCAGGGAGGGTGGCCACATCTGGGAGTGGGCCCCCCAAGGAGTGAGGAACAGAAGAGACTTTTGCACTAATGAGGGAAAAGTCCCAGCAATGGTTGGTTGAGGCTGCTCCCGGGACTGCCGCCTCCCCCGTGATTGCAGTCTGCCCCCCAGCAAAGGTCAGCTACAGAGTGGGGAGTGGGCAGGACAGGGACAGTGTCTGAAAGTCCCAGGCAAACACACATG